TTTTTTTTTTTTTTTTTTGGTTTTGGTTTTTCTCCAGTACCGGGAACCGAACTCACGACCTTGCGCTTGCCAGGCCCCACATTCGCTCTTGCTTGTCCAGCTACACGAAGGGCCAGCGAGTCAGGCAAGAAGCAAGGGGTCAGTCCTGGAAGGCACCCTGGAGGAAGTGGCCTTCTCACTGAATCCTGAAACGCGAGGCGTAGACTATGGCCCGGCCAGGATGCGGGGGCTGTCGGTACAACAAAACACTTGGGACCAGGAGGTTTGTATAGACTTGAAGTTGATTTCGCCCGTGGCTCTGCAGGCTGGGAAGGCCAAGGGCATGAGTTCTGGTGAGAGCCTCTGCGTTATATCACAGCAGGTGGCAGGGGGTAACCCAGGGCGGGACAGGAAGCCAGTTAGCTTCTGCTTTTTTTTTGATACTGAGGATTGAACTCACAGCTTTTACACTGAGCTACACGCCCAGCCCTTTTTTTCGTTTTGTATTTTGAGACAAGGTCTCCCCAAGTCTGAACTCAGATTTGCAGTCTTTCTCCTGCCTCGGCCTGCCAGAGTGCTGGGATTACAGGCATGCACCGCTGCGCCTGGAGGCCAGAGGGGCGCATAGTCAAACCATAGGAGGGGGCGGAAATGAGGGGAAGAGTATTTCAGGCTGAGGGGATAGCAAGTGAGCGAAATCTTCAAAGAGCCGGACTGGCCAGGAAGCCGCGATGGGGAGGGCGCTCAGCAGGGGCTGAGCTCAGGGAAGCACTAAGGCTGGGGCTGGCGCAGCAAGGGTCTTTGTCAGCAAACGCCTGGGCAGCTGGGCAGCGGGCGTGAAGCCTTGACAGTTCCTGTCCCTATCCCCTTTCCACCCCTGTTAACCACCCCACCTCCTGCTCGCTTTATAGCGAGGTGGGATGAGTCAGGGTCCCGCTATGTATGCCAGCCTGGCCTTGAACTCACTATGGAGCCCAGGCTGGCCTCGAACCGGTAGCGATCCTCCCGCTTCAGACCCTGAAGTGCTGGAATCACAGACATGCACTGCCATCCCTGGCTTTCCTCATTCTTGTAGAAGGCTACCCTTAAAAAACCGACCCAGGGGCTGGGAGTGTAACTAAATCGTAGAGTGATGCCTGTGGCCCTGGGTCAAACCCCAGGACCCCATATCCCATCCCCCCCAAAAAGGAAAAGAAAACAAAGTTATCCTCACCATGAAGTTGCTCCTGTCTCAGTCACTGCCCTCCTCCCTCCAGCACGGCTCATAGTAATAACAGTACAGTCACAAGGCACATACAACTGCTTTGACCAACAATGGACCACATACAGTACCGGGCAGTAGTCCCATAAGTGTGTAATGGAGCTGCAGACACAGTGGCAGGTGACTGACGGATCACTTGAGCCCAGGAGTTTGAGGCCAGTATGGGAAACAGTGAGAGCCCAGGCAATCTAAAAACAGAATATCATGGCGGGCATGGTGGCCCATACCTATAATCCCAGCACTTGGGAGGCTGAGGCAGGATGATCTCTGCAAGTTTGAGGCCAGCCTGAACTACACAGGAAGGCACTGTCTCAAAAAACCAAACAATAAAAAATAATAATAATAATGAGCTGAAAAATTCCTAAATTGCCTAATGATGTCCTGGCCATCATAGTGTCACAGTAAGACATATTTCTTATACATTTATGATGATGTTTGCACGAAAAAAAAACCCAGTGCAGGGCCAGTGATATTGAGACTAGTAATACAGTACGTCATACTTGATAATGTTATAACAAATGCACAAATGTTATTGTCTTATGCACTTGTCTTTACTTTTATTGTCATTTTAGAGTATATTCTTTGTTTTGTTTTGTTTTTCTCCAGTACCGGAAATCGAACTGATGACCTTGCGCTTGCCAGGCAGGTGCTGTGCCACTGAGCTAAATCCCCAGCCCCCTAGAGTACATTCTTTGTTTTGTTTTGTTTTTCTCCAGTACCAGAAATCGAACTCACGACCTTGCACTTGCCAGGCAGGCGCTGTGCCGCTGAGCTAAATCCTCAGCCCCCTAGAGTATATTCTTGCTATGGCAAGCAGAAACACTGAAAATATCACCCAGGCTTTGGAGGAAGAATTATTTTACATTGATGGGCACTGACTGGGATCATTCCCAAAATATCAGGCCCTGAACAGTGGTAGACTAGCACGTTCATAGGGTCTGTAAGCAGGAAGTAGAGAAGTAGCGTACGTGGTGGTAGCCAGCCATTTCTAAGAAATGGAAGTAACAGGAACTGTAACAGGACCTGCTACCTGGGCAACTAACAGACCCTGAAGTATGTGGGCTGGGGGCATTTTCTGCTACATTTCTTTTCCTTTTTTGTTTTTTTCTGGTACCGGGAATTGAACTCACAACCTTGCGCTTGCCAGGCAGGTGCTGTGCCACTGAGCTAAATCCCCAACCCCTACATTTCTTACTTATAAAGAACAAGTTTATCTGGGCATGGTGGTGCACACCTGTCATTCTAACACACTTGGGAGGCTGAGGCAGGAGGATTGATTGCTGCAAGTCTGAGGCCAGCCTGGGCTGCAGAGTGAGACCCAGTCCCCCCAAAGCAAAAGCCTGTACTCTCCTCCCCAAACAAGGAGTCTACTATGCTTCTCCAGCAGAAGCCCCAACAGTTTCATATTGTCTGTGTGTTTTGGTGTGGTGGTGATCCCTGCACCTTGGGAGGCTGAGGCAGGAGGATCACAAATTCAAGCCTAGCTTGGGAAACCTAGCAAATTAGTGAGACTCTGTCTCAAAATAAAAAGATAAAAAGGGCTGGGGATATAGATGTGTCTCTGCGGGAAGGCTATGGGTTCAGTCTCCAGTACCACAGATTGATAGATGATAGACAGTTAGACAGACAGCTGGGCTGACTCAGCCAGGGTCGCAGAGAAGCTTTGTGTCCCTCGTAGTCGTGGGACAGGAAAATGACAGCATTTTCCTTCAGTCCCAGGAGCCCCCCTTCCTCCCTGGGGACCCTTGGCAGCCTGTTTGGAGAACTCTGGGCTCAGGACACAAGCAGATGTTGTTTCCCCAAATATGTGTCCCTGAGACATGGTATCTGTTACCACGCGCTTCTCGAAGTGTGGGAAGTTGATCCTGAGTGATAGAGGTGATTCTTTCTATTTTTAAAATTTAATTTTTTTAAAGGGGAGTTGATTGTTTTTAATGTTTCCTCTTTGTGTTCCTTTGATGCTAGGATGGAAGCCAGGGCCACGAGACGCTGGGCTAGGGTTCCGCCAACTGAGCTCTATCCCGGCCCGTTCTCAGGCCTCTGCCTTGAGCTATGTCCCCTGCCCTTTCGCTTCATTTTTTATTTTAAAACAAAGTCTTACTAAGTCACCAAAATGCCCAGGCTTGGCTCAACCTTACAATCCTCCCGCCTCAGCCTCCGGGACAGCTGGGATTATAGGCCTGAAACATCAGGCCAGGCCCCCAGCCCTTTTAAAAATTTTATTCCAAAACAGGGTCTCCACAAGATGCCCAAGGCTGGCTTCAGTTTTCAACTCTCCTGCCTCAGCCTCCTCCGTAGTTGGGATTACAGGTGTGTGCCACCCCACAGGGCCTCCCTTCATCTCCTCCCCACCCTGACCCCTCACCCCCAGTACTCGGGACGGAACCCAGAGCCTTTGCTCGGAGCTACATTCACATCCCTTTTCATTATTTTATTTTAAGACAGAAGCTCTCTAACTCGCTGAGGCTGAGGCTCGGAATACAGCTCAGCGGCACCCCACCTGCATGGCAAGCATGAGGTCATGAATTCAATTCCTGGTACCAAAAGCACTGCTGAGGCTGGACTCAGCAATTCGTGATCCTCTTGCCTCAGCCTCGCAAGTAGCTGAGACTGCAAGTGTGAGCTGGCATCTCCCTTTTTTAATGTGTCAGGAATCGAACTCGGGACCTTGCGCTTGGCAGGCGGGCACTGTGCCGCTTTGCTACATCCCTTTCTACAGCACACAGAAGCAGTGTCAGAGGCTCAGAAAGCAACAAGGTCTGACTGGGATCCCCACCACCACCAACGCCAACTTTACCATGGGAAATTGTAAACATTTAGAAAAATGGGAAGCATTATACAGAGAATATCTATCTCCCTACCCGCTCAGGTTCCACCCTCAAACTTTTGCGTGCTCATAGCTCGCTCTGCCCATCTACGACCCGCTGCCTTTCTTTAGCGCTGGAGAAGGGACCCCAGGCCTCTGCTTCGCCAACCACATGCTCCACCACGAAGCTAAACCCCCACCGTCTCATTTTTTAAAAATTCATCTCAAAGAAAATGGAAGGCTTAGACCCACTACACTTCTAAAACTCCAGCGTGCACTGGGTATGCTGGTGCACACCTGTGATCCCCGAACTCAAGAGGCTGAGACAGGAGGATCGCAAGTTCCAGGCCAACATGGGCTACACAGTGAAATCCTCTCTCAACAATAAATACACTTAAGCATTCATGCGATTAACCACAGCTCAGTATGTGTGTATGGTTCTTTTTAATTTTTTAAGGTAAAATATACATACAATGAAATGTGTAGATTTTAAGTATACATTTTCTGAGACAAAGACTTACTTTGGCGTAACCCCCTTATTATTTCTAGTTGTCTTGTTGCCTCCTCCTCCTCCTCCTCCTCCTCCTCCCTCTCGTCCTTCACCCCCAGACCACAAAAAAGAATTTTTTTTTTTGAGACAGCGTCTTCCTGTGTAGTCCAGGCTGGCCTTGAACTCACTGTATAACCCAGACTGGACTCAAACTTGCAGTGATCTTCCTGCCTCAGCCTCCCAAGTGCTGGGATTACAGCCACGTGCCATGCCTGGCTCACAAACTAGAATTCTGAAGCCTGGACATTGTTTTGTTGTCAACTGATAGTAATTTTTCAGGTTTGGTAGAGATATGCTTACATTTTAAAAATCCAGACCAATAAACCGGGCTTAGTGGCGCATGCCTGTAATCCCAGCACTCGGAAGGCTGAGGCAGGAGGATTGTCTTGCCTTTGAAGCCAGTCGGATTACATAGTGAGTTCAAGGTCAGCCTGAACTACATAGCAAGACTCTTAAAAAAAAGGAAAACTTGTAAATTCCAGCATAAATAATCTGTAGATGTGGTTAAAAAAAAGAAAATCCTGTATTAGTTTTTATAGCACAGTTTTGCTATCCAACCTGGCAGCCAAGGACCTTTGAACCAAAAGTTCAAGTCCAAACGTTCCAAAGTGCAAAGCTACTTTTTTTTTTTTTTTTACCTTGGCTACTAGGAAGAATAAAATTAAGCAATAAATTAAAAGGTTAAATGTGATTCCTACGCTTAAATATGATCAAGAAAAGGTTTTCATTTTCTGTCACCTGCGTTCCTAGCAAATGAACTACCTGAGATTTTTATGATTCTGAAAATTAAAAAAAAGGGAGCCACATCATGAAATAACAGACTAGGGGAGAGCCACGTGTGGTGGTGCACTCCTGTAATCCCAGCACCTGGGAGGCTGAGGCAGGAGGATCACTACCAACTGGAGGCCAGCCTGGGCTACACAGGGAGTTCAAGGCCAGCCTGGAGTACAGGGCAGGCCTCTGTCTCAAACAAACAATCAAACAAATACACGAAGGGACCCTGATCTGGTGTTGGGAGGTAGGAGTGACAACAGTTCTGTCCTTTAGGGACCCAGGCGCAAACATGTTTACGCGGACTCTGAAACAGCCTGCTTTTTAAAACAAACCAAAGGACAAGGAAGAACAAACCGTTCCCAGGTTGCTTTTATTTCACGAAATCTGAGCTCCGCCCTGCCACTGCCATGGGCAGGGCTTGGGGCAGCACCACACAGGACCGCGCCGTGAGGGCTGCCCTGGCCGGTCCATGTGACTAGAGTCCGCGGCGAGGGTCGGCCCGGCCGTCCCCCTGGTCCCTCTGCGTCCCCGCGCCTCAGACGGGCGAGAAGCAGCCTCCTCGCCCCGTGGCCCCGCGCCCGCTCCGGATCTGCGCCCCGACCGCCCGGGCCGAGGCGTGGGCCCTGCTCCTGCGGCTCCGGCCCCGCCCGCTCCGACCTCCCGGTGCCTGATGCTGCGGCTCGGGCAGCGCCCCGGAGGCCCGCCGCCGCGTCCTTGGGCCACAGCCGAAGTCACTGTCCCCTAGGCCCCGGCAAGGAGCTAGGCGGCCTCCGGCTGCAGCAGCACGGTGGTGGCCCGCAGGGGGTAGTAGCGGCCCCGCCAGGTCCTCCAGAAGATCCCCTTTTTCCGCTGCTGCCGCTGCCGGGGCATGGCGTGGAAGTACTGGCCGTTGAGGTTGGAGTGGCTGCAGGTCCCAAACCACCAGCCGCCTGTTGGGGTCAGAGGGGAGAGGGCCGATCACCACCCCGGGTCTCCACATGGAGCACAGGGGGTGGAGGTGAGGCTGGGCTTCCATTTCACACATTTTAAATGGGAAGATTTGGGCAGTGATGATCAAACTGTGTTCCGAGGAACCCCAGGTTGCAAAAAGCAGCTCACTGTGTAGCTCAGGCTAGGATCAAACCTGACCTGGGGGCTGGGATTTAGCTCAGCGGCACAGCACCTGCCTGGCAAGCGCAAGGTCGTGAGTTCAATTCCCAGGTACGGGAAAAAACAAAACAAAACAAAAAAAACCTGGTCAATCCTCCTGCCTCAGCATCCCAGGTACCGGGATTATAGGAAGCCCGGCTTAAGACCAAGTAGTTTCAGGGGTCTTGGGCATTCCCTTTCCTGTAATCACAGTGATCAGCTTGTATGGGCTGAGGCCACAGCCAGTTACAGCACTTCTCTATACCTGACACACGGCAGACTTTTTTTTTTACTTTTTTAAAAAAGACTTTCTGCTGGACACAGTGGCACATGCCTGTAACTCGGGCACTCTGGGAGGCTGAGGCAGAAGAGGGCAAATTTCAGCCAGCCTGGTGATTAAACAAGATCCTGTCACTTTTGGTGGCTTTTTTTTTTTGACACAGGGTCTTGCTATGTAGCTCGGGCTGGCCTGGAACTTACAGCTGGCCTCCAACTCACAGTGATCCTCCTGCCTCAGCCTCCTGAGTGCTGGGATTACAGGCATGCACCTCCACAGCTGACAAGGTGTTTTATGATAAGAAAAAATAAATGGCTGGGGATGGAGCTCAAGGTGAAAGCTCTGGGTTCAATCCCCAATGCTGCAAAAAAAAAAAAAAAAAAATTCTCCAACCAGCATCCTTTACACCAGTTTGTATCACCTTGAGTGATGTGAAATTACAACAGTCTGTCAGAAGGTAATTTCAGAGCTGGGCATGGTGGTGCATGCCTGTCATCTCAGAAGTCAGGAGGCTGAGGCAGGAGGATCACTTTGAGTTCAACACCAGCCTGGGCTACATAGTAAACTCAAGGCCCCACACCTGGACTACATAGCAAGACCTTGTCTCAAAAAATAAAAGGAACAATACAGAGGTTGCCTTGGTGGCTCTGCCCTATCCAGCACTCTCCCACCAAGGTCTTGTTGAAATTTCCTAACACTCCTATGATGTGCGCCCCCTGGCAGCACCCATTTTAGAGACAGGAAAACTGAGGCGGAACAGGTGCAAGTGGGTGCGGAGCTCACCAGAGAGGCTCTTGGCACAGTTGAGGTCCCCGCGCAGGTCGTGGTCCTGGTCCCACGTGGAGAAGGGCAGGGAGAGGCTGCTGGACGCAGCGGAGGCGTTGGCGCCCAGCTCAGTGGCCACGGGCGCCGCAAGCTGCAGGCTGTAGGAGGTGTCCTCGCCGCCCAGGCGGGCCGGGAAGCGCAGCGACTCCGTGTTGCCTTCCCAGTCCCGCAACTGCACGGCCAGGCGGCCGCCGCGGTCACCCGCGATGCGGTGCATCTTCTCCAGGCCCAGCCAGAACTCGCCTGCGCAGGTCAGGACCGCAGGACAGGAGGCAGGGTGAGAAGGGCGGAATCTGCACCGCTCCGCCACACCCTGCCCCGCCCCGCCCCGCCCCGCCCCGCCAGCCGGGGACACTCACCTCGGGGGTCCCCGAAGCCCGCCTTGTAGGCTTCCCAGGGCTGATTGAAGTCCACCGAGCCGTCCAGGCGCCTCTGAATCACCGTCCAGCCTCCGTCTGCCCAGAGACACAAGGTCACCAGGGGGCGCCTTCACGGGGACTGCAGCAAGCCCAAGATCCCCCCGACCCGGGCAGGGCAACCCTGAGGTGTGTGGGGAGGTGAGGCAGGGGCAGGAGGCCGGTGAGCTGCGGCTGGCAGGGGCGCAGGCCAGGCTGTGTCTCCAGGACAGGGAGGGAAGGAGGGGCAGGAGAAGTCTGCAAAGCCAGCTGAGGATCTCTTTAATTTTTTTTTTTTTT